ATATATATATATATATATATATATATATATATATATATATATATATATATATATATATATACCTACATATTTGAAATCTTATTGTATAATCATATATTCTTAAGATGCTTTATCTAAACTTTCTGTATTTTCTTTATCCCCTCCCCTGTTGTTCCTATTAATCCTTCCAGATTCCACTGCCTTCCTATTTGTCTTGTCTTTTGTTTTAATCTTATTTTTCCTTCATCATATTTCCGACAATTTAACAATCTATGTTCTACATTTTCTATTACTTTACTTTCTATACACCAATCTGTTTCACTTTTCCTTTATAAAAGTAATGGTTTATTTAACCCAGTATGATGAAATCTTAGTCGTGTCAAAATAGTCTCCTCTCTACGAGTCTTTTTAACCACACCCTTGGCATTCATAGATTTCAGCACACTATAATGACTTCTTCCATTTTTGTCTAATTGTGGTGCAATTCTGCCACTGATTGAACATGAATCATAACAAACAAAAAACCTTAATTTGATAAATTTACGCTTTAGAAATTAGTTCTGGCTTATTCATAATGGCGCTGTAATTAATTAAATAATGTAATATAGTAATTTATTAAATATTCATAAATGTTTTCCTATTCTTCCCCTTCATTAGAAAAGTTTGCTTATCTCTTAGACGGGAGGTTTTTAACAGGGGGTCCACGACCCTTAGGGGGTCATCGGAGGTGCTGCATGGGGGTCACGAAAGTTTTGGTTGATTTGACTTTTTTTTTTATATTCCCCTCTGAAATTGTTTCCACTAAATGAATTCAACACACTGTAGTAAACAGATAAATGGAGGCAGAAGATGTCTTTCAGTCATCAATGCACACATTCAGCGACACACAGGAGCTCTTTCAAGCTGGGCACCGCTTCATTCACAACACCTGTCCCATCAACCAGGAATCAGAATCAGAAATACTTTAATAATCCCAGGGAGAAATTACTATTGTGGGGTCCTTAGCCTGGAAAACCTTGAAGACCCCTGGCTTACACTATTTAAAGTGTTGTTCAGCACCTATCAAGAATAGTTGTTTTCAATTTACTTTTATCAAGCCATGTTCATATTACAAACATGAATAATTAAAAAGTGAGCAGAGCAGTAATGCCAAGAGAGGAATATCAACCATATATATTGTTAAAGATAGGCTCTGTGTATGCACCCTGATCTTTCCGGTTGTTTTCCCTGAAAAGAAGTCACTCGGTAACTCTTTAAATAACATTTCATAACTTCTATGTATTAAATAACCAGGAGAAATTACAACAGATTCTGATAGAAACTGTAATCTTACTCAGATCAGAGAAATTGCTTAGGGTTAGAGAATGGCAGCTGCTCACCTCTGGGCTCACCTCTCAGGAAGTGGCCCCTGATTAACAGTTAAAAAGGAATTTTATACACCTCCAGTCTGCCGCATCATCATATTTTACATCATACACATTAACACATGATTGGATATCCATGGCTCCAGCCTTATCAAAATAGGACACCGCTCTCATTCCATTTCCAAATTTTTGATACATACAAATTGAAGATTATAACTGTATATCCAGACAGAGGAATTGTCCTAATTAGATGAAAACGTCAGTTCTGACATGCAACAGGCAGCCCATACCTGGGTGTGATAAACTCACACATCTTCAGTGATAATTATCCTAACAATACATACAGAACTGGATAAACAGGAACATAAAAAGTTAAAGAAAATTAACAGATGGGTAATGACATTAAATAATTAATTCAAAACTAGTTTAAAAGTTGGTTTCATAGCTGAAAATATATACATCTATGAGTAATATAATATAAATAATAAAAAGCTTTTCAGGGGCACATACATTGTAGAAAATTAAAAAGCACATCCATATGATCAAGCTGAAGTAAATAAGGAAGTGATATATATACACTGTCGTGGGAAAAAAGTATTCAACTATTCATCCTAGGTAAATAAACAGAGATCGATGGATTTCAGTCAGTCGGCAGATTTATTAATAATCTTTGCAAAGAGAGAACAGTCATCACGGCATAGCATTCTGCTCTGTTCTGATCTAGGGAGGGTTCGCCCCCCCCTACTTACAACAATGGAAAAGCAGTCAGATTCATAACAAATTACACACACTTTGGTTAACAGTAGCATGTTATGAAAAAACCTTGAGAAAGAATCTGGTTTGTTAT